CCCGCTTGGCGGCGCTAGCTGGATCGGAACAAATCGGGCAGAGTTGGCCCACCTTTTCGAGCTTTGGCCGGTTTGACCGGCCCCATGATTTTACCATGATCAAAGTCACTCTTCGAGTGATAGGTTAAAGAAAAAACCACCCCATGTTCAGACTAGGATAACCTCCAGAAACAGCTGTTTGAGTGGCATTTTTTGCTTTGCACCCGCAATTGGCGTGAAGATTTGCAGGGGATCTAACCTTTCTTGCCGACCCCTTGTACGACTGTGAGCGTGAGGCATGCCTTTGGGAACATCTTCCGGGTTGCTTCCTAAAGCGGGCACGTCTTTGGGGCGTGTCGTTGTAGAGGAATGTCGCAAGAGATGTCTTTGGGGTGTATCTGGTGAGTTGTGTTTGGTGGACGTTGTTGGTTGGGTGTGTCTTTGGCGATGGCTTTTCTTGTTGGGATTGTTTGGGACATTTGGGCTTGTCATTGGGCATGTCCTTGTCATGGGATATATTTTAGAGCATGCATCTTTGGGGTCTGTCTTTTTCGTGGTCTGTCATTGGAGATGTCTTTGGGGCATGTGGCCTTGAAGATGCTATTCCACCCGGTGAGGGGGGGATGTCTTTCTAGGGGTTGACATTGTTGTTGGAAAACATGTTTCCATTTTTTTGCTTATGGTGGTTTAGTGGTTGAAATCCAAATCCACTTAACTGCTAAAATTTTCAATTTTTGCTCCCCAACCCAACGTCAACCAAGTCTAGGGGTTGAGTTCAGTTATTCCTTTGAATCTGGAAGCCCGCTTAATCCTCGTCGAGGCTATCTCAGCCATTTTCCTGGTGCGCTGTCGGGGGGGCATTCGTATTACGTGCTACTTGTCTTTGGTGCATGTTGCTTGGATGTTAGGACTTTAACCTTTTGCCAACACTAAAAGTTAGTCACTCTTAGCAGGGGAGCAGATTTCGAAACCGAGTTGTGTGAATGTTGCTTAATTTGTTTGTAACAATTGACTCAGCAATGCCTGGGGACTATGTGGCTGCAAGTTCTGTTTATCATACTTGCAATGTGGGTGGACAAAATCCTGCACCACCTGAGAAACCCTGGAATGATGATTCCCCTATAAATGAATACCAACAAGCAATGGTTTCAACCATGGCTTCCAAGTGGAGTTCGAAATGGATTTCGCAACCATCCACAATATTTTCATGATTTTGCATGTCCCTTGCAAGTAGCGGTACTCTCGAGAAACGCTTCCACGTGGTGTGAAATGGATTCGTCCATCCACACTTAGCAGTGTTTTGTTTTTTGCTTTTCTAGATTTCTTGTGCACGGTAGCCACCCATGAGGCTACCTGGAGTCTCCATGACCCCTTAAAAATGGGGTCACTACCCAAAAAATGGGGTCATGACCAACCATTTTCAATGGGTCACGGAGACTCCAGGTAGACTTTTGTGCATATTTTTTCGCAAGTGGCTAGAATTGTGTATATCCCTCGCAAGTAGTGGTTGGACTCGAGAAACCCGCGGCTTCGTTTCCAGTGCCCCGTATGGAATTCGCAGCCGTGAGGCTCGACCCGGAGACAGAACAGGCGGCGTCCGAGCCTGCGGCTTCTAGGGAGAATTGACGTCCCAGGTCGCCCATTCGGACGAAGGGTCAAAATTTATCTGCTCCAAGAAGGACATGTTACCAAAGTGAAACTCGAAGTGCTATACTCCAAACCCCATTTTTCTGACTTTCACCCTGAACTGTCAAAAGAATGACCCAGTTGTTGGGTCTCAAAAATTCGGGAGCTGTTTTTAGCCAATCCACTCGATTAAGAGCCCGAAGTCATAGGGGCTGTGCCCCTTGCTGCGGCTCTCAATTCTGTGAAGTTCTTCGTTGATGTGGATGGACGACATCCGTTCGCACCAGTTGGTAGGTGATTTGCTCAATATTTAGAGGGTGTTATCCATCCCAACTGGAGCAGGATTTTGTCCATCAGTAGTACCAGCTCATGTTCAGTGAGATCGATAGTGGCTCATTTGAGGTCACTCAAACAAAGCTAGTAGAAATGATTTAAACCCAGCAGTTCAAGGTTGACCAAAATGTAACCGTTAGGGATTCCATCCAGGGGAGGGGTTGCAGCTCTTCTCCTTATAGTTCAAAGAGTGGTAACTTAATTGTGGTTGGCATGTTTTTAGTTGTTTTTGTTTGTTTCTCTTAGTTCTGTTCATCTTTGGCAGGGGACCGCAAAGAAGGCTGTTCTGTACCATACCAAGAGTTGCAAAGGTAAACACCATTGGCCAATTGACAGTCAGCTTCCTCAAAAGCGGGGTGATGCTCTTAGATCCTGAAAGGCGAAGTGGGCATGGTGATCAATTGAGTGAGTTTGTTGGTGTAGCAAGCTGTATCGAAGCTGTTTCTTCCACATGGAACATTTTTGGGGGGGGACCTTGGAAGAATGCAGTTTCCTTTCGCTGATCTTTGGTGGATCTGAAAACAAGCGCAAAAGGGATCTGTTTGGGGACTATTGGCCTTCACCTTTTCTGCGTCCCACTCTACTTGATCAGATCCGCGCTCCTGTTTCTGGTTTGTATAAATTGCACAGCCTGGTGTTCCATGCCAAAGGCCTCCTTTTTTGTTCAGGGCTTGACCACTAAAACGCGGTTGTTGGGCGTCAGTCTTCTTACGGTGGAGCCGCTTTCGATGGGTGTTCAAAGGGAAACCAAAAGGAGCATTCTTTGTTTTGAGAAACACCATCTCATGGTTGTTGTCGGGAAACATTTTTCCATTTTGTTTGCTTATTGTGGTTGAGTGGTTGAAATCCAGCCACTCAACTGCTAAAACATATTTTTGTTGCTCCCCTTCCAACGTCAACCAAGATCTGTCCAGGCACGTTCGCCGGAGGCAACCGCGTCTAGAAGACTGACTCCTATTTGGAGAGGAACGGCCACGGCCATACCGCCATCTGTACCGGAAGAGCCCCAAAACCGTTGCCATGGGGTTCCGGCTCCTATTCACAGACAAGCATTCGTTTTCTAGGGGTTGATTCCCCATTCTGTTCAACCATGCTTCTTTTCAAGAACCAGCTATTTTGCCCTTGGTTTCCGGAGGCCTTCTTTCTGGAAAGAATGGGGAAGGTACTTGGATGTTCGGCCAAGTTAGTAAGTGGTTAGCCACCTGGGGTATAACCTACTTGTGAGTGGGTTGGGCCAGTTGTAAGTAGGTTACAACCCAGGTTACTAACCACCTAATTACTAACTTGGCCGAGCTCCCAAGTACCCTAGACTTGTTTCCTTTGGAGGGATCGGTTGGGGGTCGGCATCTGGCGAGTCAGCCGTCAGATTGTGGGCACCTTCAACCGGGAGACCAATGAGATGGACCTCACAGATCCAAAGCTGCTTCAGGAGGCCTTCGATCCGCCAAAATCGGATCCAATCGAACGTGTGGACCCGACACGAGGGGTCTCAGAATATGGCTGTGGGTCAAAACCAACGGTATCCCATTTTGGGGTAGGTGCACCACCCATTTTAGTGTTTTTTAGTGGGGATTGGGATGTTCACTGGGGGCACGGGCTTTTGACCCATGGCCATATGGGGTGTGGCTCAAAATAAAGTGCCAGGGTTACGCAGGTTTAGGCTAGTCTTTGGTCCCATTTACCAAGGTGCCATGTTGGGTACCGTTGTTTTTAGAAACAGCCATATAAGTGCTACTTAGCCCTACAAGGTTTAAACTATCCAAAAGGAAACGGTCTATAAGTTGGTTGTTCCGAGCATGTTTTGGAGGTGCCTGTTTTCTCTAATTAAGGGAGCAAAGGCTAGCGTCGCTTACTCAACAGCCATGAACTTTGTTTGCTAAAAGGATGTTCGGCCAAGTTAGTAAGTTGTTGGTAAACTAGGCTATCAGTCCCCCCAAATGGAGTTAGCCCTGTCATTAGTGGGTCAGAGCACAGGTTCTAACCATTTACTAACTTGACCGAACGTCCAAGTATCTATTTTACTCATCTTGACTACGTCCCGGTGGTTTCCTTTTGAAGCACTTGGGTGTTTCTCAACATGTTTGTCCCACCCCTTTTGGTTGGTATTTACGGGGAAGCCAGGAGGAAACCGCTGCCATTGTAGGGGTTTCTTGATTTAGGCCCTGGTTCATTTTTGAGGGCCCTGGAGGAATTGGTCCGGGTTCTCCATTGGCGGGTCCGGGGTCTGCGGGCTTTTCCCTGCGGGACCCGGGCTTCGAGGGGCCTTAAAGAAGTTGTAAAACGATGGGTTCCGGCTCAAGACATCCATCATATTTTCTTTGGTGCATGTTGCTTGGCTGTTAGGACTTTAACTTTTTGCCAACTATTGGATTTTCCACTAAACCACTAAAAGTTAAACGTTTAGCAGGGGAGCAGAAAGCAACCGAGTTTTCGTCCCGAAAATCGATCCAAGGAATCTTCGTTAGTGGGGATCTTCAGGGAACCACTCCGGTAGGGATTATGGATCAGGATTCTTTCTCATACGGTGGATGAACGAATTCCTGCGTCCTCTACCACTTTGAAACCATGGGAAACCATTGTTCGTTGGTATTTCCAGAGGAATTATCCTCCAGGGTTTTCTTTGGTGGTGCGAAATGGATTTACGGTGCTGAACATTGCACTTTGTCTTCATGTTTTGTTTGTCTTTTGTTGTTGTTGTTGTTTTTGGGGCACAGGGGGCAGGTAGCGCTCGGGTGGTTCTATATGTTACCTGCTACAAAGAAAAACGGAGTCACTGGGCAAAAGCAAGATAAAAGTTATACATGAGATCCGGGGTACAGACAAGTGGGCTGTTGCCCTTGGAAGCACCTGCCGTGTGCGCTTAATGCATCTGGCTCCAGCATTTGCAAGCTCGGACCAGCCCGCCTTGGATGAGCACTTGAAAGCCACGCCATCACAAAGTTCATAGACTTGCGCACAAACGCGAGATTTGGCTTTGACCTTCGTACTCCCAGCAAAAAAAAACAAACAAAAGCACGTTGCCACTTTTTGGGTTCAGCATCATGGTTTTGTTTTGTTTTGGCACCCGCTCTTGTGGTGTTCACCGCTTGGACAAGAAACACAAATTTCACATCGCCCAATTCGAGTTCGCTATGGCGGACCTAGATCTTGAGATCTTTCATGACCGGAACTTCCAGGCTCGGTGAGAGAGAGGGATCCGAGGGATCCGATGTTGAGCCACTCCCTGAGTTCTCGGAGTCCAGACAACACGTCCTTTTGGAGTCTGATTGCCATTTCAGTGGTGGACAACAAAGCACTACTTGTTTTGGCCCAACTCAGGAAGTGAGAGTTAAGACCACCCATTTTCGGGGCTCTATTTTGAGAACCCGCATTCGTCAATGTCCTGCCTCCGAACTGAAGGAAAGCCGCCGTTAAATCATGGGCTTATCCTTGCTGATCCAGAGCCAGCCCCCCCCCCCCCATAGTCCCCCTTAGAGGTCCATGATTAAACTTTGGTGCATTTTGCTTGGCTGTTAGGACTTTAACTTTTTGCCAACTAATGGGTTTCCAACTAAACCACTAAAAGTTAAACTTTTAGCAGGGGAGCAGAAAGCAACCAAAAAAACATGTTTTTCCCCAAATCGTGGGGCATGTCCTACACCTGGCTGGTGGGGTCCCTCAAATGCCCGCTACATGTACCCCGGGAAAACCCGCTTTTGTTGGGCATATTCTTAAGCAGCCCGGTTGTTTGGCTGTGGGTCAAAAAAAGGTACCCAAAATGGAACCCTGGTAAATGGAACCAAGGACTAAAACCTGTGGTCTGGTGGTGACTAAATTTGACCCACACCCATTTGGAGCCTTCGTGGCATGCTTCCAATCATATGGACAAGCAACCGAAAAGGGTGGAAGTACATCCCTTGGTCATGGCGGTTCCTTGGCTTCGCTGGTTGCCAAGCCACTTTTTAGGGGGTTTATACCCCTTTTCATAGTGGTTGTTGGGAAGCATGCTTCCCATGTTTGCTTATTGTGGTTTGGTGGTTGAAATCCAGCCACTGACCTGATTTTTGCTCCCCAAACCCAAGTTTTGGGGGGAGGGGTATGAACATCAGCAGGGCTTTTGGGTTCATTTGTAGCCTGGACGGCCTCAAAGCCCAGGCGGTCGCTGCCCAGGACATGAAGCTGAAGGAGGGGGAAGGGTTGGGTTGGGGAAGGGGGGGGTCGGGGGTTGGGGGTTGGGGGTTGGGGGGCTGGTGGGGGGGGGGGTTGGTGGGGGGGGGTTACACACACACACAGAGAGACGCCACACACACACACACACACACACACACACACACACACACACACACGCACGGCACCG